ATTATATATTTAGTATAACATTTTTTATTTGTGCGACTTACTTGTGTTATATTATAATTTTTAACTTACAACATATAACTACATTAAAAATAAATATATCAATTGATAAAATTTTATTTTTCTAATGAATTTTAATAAATATTATTATTTTTTATTATTATAAAGATAAATATAATTTATTTATTTCATATATACAATATGGATGTCAAATCGGAGATTATCAAAAGATGATTAATTTGATATATAATATATGTAAAACCGATAAGAAATACAAAAGTTATCAACTTTTAAAATACATTTACAATTCAATAGCTAATTGAAGGAAACAAATCAAAGTCAGAGATATATTAGTCACTTCGTACCTCACTATGTAAAATTACAAATAATTAAAGGGTTATTATAGTACAAGTGATATTAAAATACATAAATTAGATAAATAATATTTATGGAATGTCCGAACCTAAATTATTAATTATTAATATATCAATATTATTTGTCCAAACCTAATTACGAAACATGATTCTTCGCCAAGTAGAATTCCGAAGCACCAGAAGCAGCCACGTAGGCTCAGCGCATTCGGGAATTATATATAGGGAGGATTTCAAAATGTACACGTGAATTATTTTGAAGGAACAAAATGATGATATTATATTACAGGGTAATATGTTCATGTTGCGCGAATATATAATACTAATTAATTTAATTACTAACACTGCATTTATTTTTCAGAATTATTTATAATTCTAGTATCCCGTGTGTTACACGGGTGCTTGTTAAAAGATATTCTTAAATTTTAAAATTAATGAGAAAAATATTTTAAATTTTATTTACGTTTTAACAAAATATTATTATATACTTTAGAATTACACTTGTTACTTGTGTGACTTACATGTGTTATATTATAGTACTTTTTATAACTTATATTATATAACTACTTGAAACATAAATATATTAATTGATAAATAATTATATTTTTCTAATTAATATTAAAAAATAATTTTATTATTCTTATACAGATAAATAATTTTTTTTATACACATACAATATGGATGTTAAATCGAAGCTCATCAAGAGAATTAGTTTGATATATTACATATGCAAAATTGATAAAAAAAAAATACAAAATTTATAAACATTTAAAATACATTTACAATTCAATTCGATAGTTATAATAAGAAATGATATTAAAATACAATTAATAATACATTTAATATAACCATAAGTAATCAACATATTTATGGATAATCCGAACCTTTTTATTTTTTTTATGGTAACTAAAATAAAATTTACCCAAACCTAATAACGAAACATTTAATTTTGCCAGATAGAATCTCGAAACATGCAAGTCTGCCACTTAGGCTCGGCAGGTTTTGAGTTAAAATATAGAGGCATTACTTTTAACATGATCTATTAATATTAATAACGTATACAACTCAATTTTGGCAAGATTAGAGAAGTTTATTATGTGATAATGGGTACAACTATGAAATAAGCACACAATCCAATTCTCACATGCAAACATAAAATAAGACCATCGGATCTAAAGATCCAAAAACACATGTAAACTCCGTTCAAATGCATTACTTCTAGTCGTGCACAAAAAACGGTTAACCGAGTTGAACCGACCGAAACTGAATATTCGATTTGAACCGAAACCGACACCGAATATTCGGTTTTGGTTATATTTTTTATAATTTTTTATTTTCGGTACGGTTTTAATATAATTGGTCGGTTAACCGAACCGAACCGAAAACCGATAAGATAAACGATTTTAAAAAAGCCCAATACATTATATAAAAATTTGTATCAAACACACCCGGCCACCCAACTCCCAAACCCTCAATTTGTAAATAAAAAAAATATCAAACCTATTAATTAACTAATGTAATGACTAAGGGTTAGTTAAAATTATATGAGTGGATGAATAGTGAATTAAAGTTGATGTGATGTGTAAGAATAATTGTTTGATATTATTTAATTATATTGATAATATAAAAGATAGTTATGTTGAAATAAAATTGAGTTAAATTTGAATTTTGATTAGTTTTTTTACTGTTCAAACTATATCCAATCGTCACCTAAGTCACTAAAAATAAAATAAATTAAATATTAACAAACACCAAGTCATCCCCATTTCACACCCAACTAAGCCACCACGATATCACTTTACACAAATTTAAAAGCCCTAATATCTCCCAGGCTCCCAACTTTTCTTTGTTCGTGAATCTTTGACACTCCGATTATGATTCTGACAGAGTTCATCTCCTGTCTCCCGCACGGCGCGCACGCTCCGGTCGGCGTTGGAGTTCATACACCCGCCGCCCCGCACACACTCCAGTCGACAAACAATTTAGAGATTGAATTTGCGTTTGGTGTTTTACATTTATTCTTGGTTGGGCAATCAGTTTTGCTAGACTGAAGAAGTACATTACTACTAGTCTGCTACTTGATTTTGTTGGAGCCCGGGGTTCTTGTTATTAGGATTCACCTAATTATTATTTTTTGTGTTGCTCAATTGGTATGTTTCAATTTTTTAATCTATGAAATCATGGTTGTTGCTCAATTAGTTAGTTATTAATTATTTACTGTAATTAACTGATAATCCAACCGAATCGACCGAAAGATTTTTCGGTTAAAACCAAACCGAACCATAAAATCTCGATTCAGTTTTCAATTTATGTAGTTCGGTTTTAACCGAACTAGCAATTTGAAGTAATTTACTTCAAATTGCCAAATATAGAATGAATAACGACTTTTTTTTTTAATGGTTCTATTTATTCCTTGTTAGTGCATTTTTCTAGCGGAAAAAAATTAGTACTAGCCATTTACACCGATTTTTTAAGTTGGGGTCAACGAAATTTGGCAGAGCTGGAAGGGACCCACCTATATTAAGTTAGTGACGACTAATAGTCAACTCTTATATCTTCTTTTAGTAAACTAGTATGTAACCCGTGCGATGCACGGGCTGTATTTAATTTAGAGAATATTAAAAATTAAACTGTATTAATAAATAAAAGAGTGATAATTCGTAGGAAAATAATCAAACCATAAAATATTGCTCATGCAAAAAAATATATTATTTAAACTTTCTTGTACACAACATTATTTGTTCAATAACTGAGCAACTCGTCGTCCACACAAACTAATATTTTCTACACTTTTATAGTACTTACACGCGAAACAAACAACATAATTGTCCGTGACTAAAAATCGATTTATTTAAAAACATGCCAACGTATAATAAATGTTGACATTGACTCTTCTTGATCCATTACTTAACATGCCAACGTATAATAAATGTTGACCTTGACTCTTCTTGACCTATTACTTACACGCTAACAACATACAATTGGTCGTGATCAAAAAAAAGATTTTTTTAAGAACATGCTAATGCACATCTCTTATCTATTATTTACGCGTAAAAACAACAACATATAATCGGTCGTTGCTAAGAACTGATTTCTTTAATAATATGTCAATGCACATAAAGACTGACCCTGATCTTAATTGAAATCCTAAGATTTGAAGTAACGGTGCTCTAGCATTTAAATGAAATCCTAAGATGGA